ATATATATATATATATATATATTCCTTTTACTCTCACAGACTCTCTCCAACTTTGTCACGCCTTATCCCCCATACATAGATAGCCCACAAACGAATGTTTCTAGCCCAAATCGTATCTTTGAAGATCTCCTCGGCTCTCTTTAATCAAGAAAACAACAAGGTCCCTGACACAGATATATGTGTGTATTGTTCACGCCTTGCCTCTCCCCCTGAGAGTGTAACCTCCCTAAAAGGGAAGGTTTCCTTGGTACTGTGGTCCACAAGTGCCGGTGAGTCGGCCCGTTCAGGGAGACACTGTCCACCCCAGAACAAAGCGCTGCCCGTCCGTGCCACCCTCACAGCTGCTGTTATGTTTGAGTCCACTGCTGCAGCCACCGGGTCCATCCATCTTGTCCAATGTCATCCTCGTCGTCGCTGACATCCCCTTGGCCAAGCAATGATGTTCTTTTCCAGGGACTGGTCCCTACTGTTAACATAGCCAAAGTCTTTACAAGTGCTTAGGATGAATGGATCTCCTCCATAGCCTCTCTCCAAATACCTCCTATAATGAATGCCCACAGGTCAGTGTCAGTCCATTTTCCCTCAGCAATCTGCTTCCCAACACTGGTCTTGGCTGTGAACGGTAACTGAAACCCAACACATGCAAGACGGAATCTTCCTTGTCAAGCCAGGGCCTCTATCTTGTTCCTTTTACTAAGAGCCAACACCATCCTTGATCAGATATTCACTAAACTCAGTTTGGTGCTAGGCACTGGGAGAGCACAGTGAATACAACAGGCAACGGCCCTGTTCAGCTCCCATGGGATTTAAATCCTAGGGAATCCTTTGTTCCTTTGGGAAGTCAGCCGTTAAGTTCACCTGGACTCTTCCTCCTCCTTATGGCCCCTATGGCCAATCGGGCACAAATGCCTCCACAATGCTTAATTCCTTCCCCTCCCCACTCCAACACTCCCCTGGAAGACCCTCCCTAGGGCTTGCCTGAACAAGAACAATAGTCAGTGTCCACTCTGTCCTCACCAGTCCATTCTCCATGCTACAAATTGAATAGTTTCCCGCACGATACTGCAGCCCACCCCACCACCACCAAACACACCCCTCGCTTGCCCCTTCAGTGGCTTTCCACGGATCCCTCACTCTCCCAGCTGCAGGCACAAAAGCCTTTTCTCCACCCCTTCTTTTTACTACATGCCTCCTGCCTCGAATCCATGGCTGGTTGTTGCCTGTGCCCGGAAAGCTTCCTCCTCTTCACCTACTCAACTCTTGCTCAGCCTCCACGTTTCAGCTCAAGGTTAACTTCCTCAGCGAAGACTACTGATTGCAACCAACTGTGTTAAACTCTCCCAGAACCATGCACGTCTTCTCTCTCATAAGTCTCCTGTGTGTGAGCTGGAGTCCCGAGCCCCAGGGTCCCGGTAGAACAGGGCCACGCCTATTCCATTCAGGGACTGTGCCCTGCCCACAGCAGGAGAGCAGACAAGCATTTATAAATGAGCAAATGAGTAGACGGGAGGAGGGCCCACTGCGATAACGAACGCATAGGGAGCCCTCGGCACAGTGCATGACACATATAAAGGACAAGAAAACAAAACAAGGCCCATTGCTATGGGCTTGACTCGGATGCATTTGCCACCCACGTATGTCATCATCACACTGTGCTCCAGAGAGTTTTCAAAGGCTCCGTTGTTTCTGGAATGAGATCACCAAGCCTTCCTTCTGAGGCACCTCTGGCTGGACTCGAACCCCCAGCCATTTAGATGGCAGTCTGGCTCGTTAACTACTTGCACCAGCAAGGAACTGACTCGGCACATTCAAACAACAACAAAATCAAACTTGTGGCCCCAGCGCCGATTCCGATACATGGCGATCCTGAATGGTAGAGTAGTCCTGCCCCACGCGGTTGCTTGACACATGGAGGGCATTAACTACCGCTCACTTCCTTCCCCTTTTCCACCCAGGGAATTCCCAGAACTTGGGAGGGAAAGTTGTCGGAGTTACATTCCATGTCAAACAGCATAGATGTGTCAGTACCATCGGTTTCCGTTTGCTCCTTCCTTCAGAGGTTGTCAATGATTTGGACGCATCTTACAGTAGTCTGACTCTTCCTCACAGCCAACTGGAGGGTGTGCAGGAAGGAAAATGAGTGAGCCGTGGGTTACTTGGCTTTGCCCCTGTC